TTGCCTCAAGTAGCTTCTCCTGCGGCCGCATTACGTCTATGGGTGTACACCATCGTCGACTGCGGCTTCGGATTTTAAAGGGGACCGATCTCAAGGCGCGAGGTCAACGAAAAGAAAAACGATAAACGAAGAATGAACGGTAGTCGAGGGGGAGTAATATGATAAAAAAACCGCGCTTGGACTGGAATTTTTCGTTGCGCTTTTGATAGTAAGCCGCGACGCTCTACGTCCGTCTATTTGTCCTACGCAAACTTTGTTTTTGCAAATAAAGCGACGCTCGCGTTACCCTCCTTTATTCAGTTTGGTTGTCAGTGGCGGTCGCGCGCGCGCGCGCCGATTGCTCGTCAAGAACGCAATAATCGTGGCGCCGTAAGAGCCACGCTGGAGAGCGAGTGAAAGAAAAAAGGTGAAGCAAGCCGAATGAATGAAGAGCGAGGAACGGCCGGTTAAGGACATCGCGCGGAAGAGCTTGGTCATCGCGACTGAAAGTCGTAGATGAGGGGCAGAGTGGACCGCGGGGCGGGTGCGGTGCGGGAGGGGAGGAAGAGGGAAGGGGCTTTCGAAGTCATCGTTGAGAGCCGGGAAACAAGGGGCCCAGTGTACTCCTGGCCCGAGAACGGCTGCTCTGTCCTTGCTCGTGCTACCTCCGGGGATCGAGTGGGCCGAGGAAACGGTGGCGTCGGGACACATCGCGGACCCGCTGAATAATCGACGTGGGCTGCCGCGCACTAATTGACGCCGCACGGTAGTCGCGATTAACACCTCATCCGGGGCCCACACACGCCGCATCTGACCTTCGCTCCGACACGACGTGCGGTAGCGGGGATTACGAAAGATTAAGAAAGATAAAGGAGACGCGCGCGTCACCCTCGCGAGAGACTCTAAAAGCCACTTTCCTCCGGCTCCTCTCACTTTTCTGGAATTCGCGACGCCGGGAGCTCGCGCTCTTTTCCCCGTCTCCGTCGCTCCGTTGACCCGCTGATGGAGTGGTCCGCTCGCGCTCCCAGTCCGGCTCAACCCTTGAGGGTCCTCTCGAGCCCGGGGGACTCGAGCTCGAGAGTCTCCCTCCTTCTCGCTCGACCTGGGTGGTCCATTCTTCTAGCCCATACATTATATAAGTTGGGCCGACGCTTCGGAGGACACCTTTTTTTCATCACCCGTCTATATTTTTTCTTCCCCCCTCCTCCCCCATTCGCGGACGCGGACATTTATATTTTTTTGTATTTTTCTATTATTCATTCTCGCCCAACCTCCGACAGACTCACGCTTCAAGACGTTAAGGCATGTGTATGTGCGTGCACGAGTGCGTGCGTGTGCGCATAGTGCATACGTTATCTATACGCTCCTTTGGACGGAGGATGCGAAACTCAACACCGTCGGCGACAACTTTGCAGGCGAGTAAGGCAATATGGCCGAATCATCATGGGGCGTCGCAAAACTTGGCGCTAACATCCTTTGCTGCCATTCGCAGATAAGAATGGACCCTACATCCTTGTCCCCGTGTCAACCTTGAAATTTAAGCCTGAACATCGACGGCCTTGCTCCATCCTTTCCTTCTCTCGATATCGACATTTGCTTTCCTTACTTCCTTAAACGCGTGCCAAGTGCAAAGTGTAAGCAAATATCATTATTAGCTGGGAAGCAAACTTTCTTCACGCATTTTTTAACGTTACCTTTTCACAACCATCCTCTCTATCTCATTATTATCAATGCATTGGATTAATGCTTTGAAGAATAGGACGTCGTGGACAGCGAAGTTTACATAACGAGAAGCTCCTCTACTTCTATCGCGCTGCTTCTTACCGATACGTACCAACGCCCACTAAATTGTTGGCCCGTATTCTCTTAATCTTATCGGCTCGAGAACATGCCGAATTGTAAACCAAGTACCGCGTATACTTTTCCGAGAAAAATCTTCCCAATCTTCACTCCGGGTCAATACTCATGCAATATAAATATTACCGTATTCCGACCTGACCAATGGGTATATTTTTCCGCGCGACGGAACCTCGCACTTGGATTCCCCTTCGCTCGTTGGCTTACTAGCCAAGGCTTCGTATACGCTTTATCCGTAGGCCTAGACTCGCTACGAAATACAACCTACTTCCATTTTGCCTTTTTTTCCTTCCGTACCTTTAATACACGCGAGTGCTCGTACGCGCACACGCGCGCGCGCGCGCGCTCATACGTACATTTGAGTTCATTTGGTAAAGCGTAATCCCGAGAATAACGTGCAGTTGTATTCTCCTGCTCTCTTCTACGCTATCTCTCGTTCTCGTCCGGGGTTCACCGTTATTCACGTGACAAAAAAGAAAGGTGAATCCGTTATTCTCGTAATATTTATTGTTGGCTTCCGGCTGACAGGATATTTTGATGAACGTAGCTATTGCATTTGCCGACGACAATTTTCCTACTGACAAATATAAAGCTGCATGTTCCGGAGAGTCCCGCCTGATAAATAAAATAGTAACATATCCTTCTAACCCACGCAAACAAGAACGACACGTGCATATTAATAATATGAAGGGAGAATTTGAAGTGAAAAATTCAATCAATCGCGAGGCAATTGAAGAGATAGATCGTAACCGAAGCACTTAAGCCTTGGTGGGAGGATCGCTGCCGTCGGTTCGATGTTCCATCGCGATGCTGCCGCTCCGTTATTTCACTTTATTATGAACGATACTATCGACAAATATTGGAGTGGAGGCCATCCTCCTCCCTCTGCCCCACTCCCTGAATAGGACGTCTCGCGGATAGATTGGCGGAGATATGTCAACTTTTCAACGACAAAGTCAACGAGAAAACAATAAAATAAAATATAATGTGAAAAATAAAAAGAACATTGGTTGACATTATTGAAGAGCGACGTTAACTGCCGTCAAATTTCATTGAGCTGCACTGCTGCAACATTGTAATTAGGTTCCACGGCGCTCGAAACACGTACGTAATCATTTTTGTGTATTTGCATGTGACTGTGTCTTCGTATTGACCTGAACTATATTTATGCTCACGAAGGTCATTCTCGATGGCACTAGAACTAATTTATAATTTAATGAGAATTATCGTAATGATTCAATGACCGGGTAATGGACGACGATTTATAAGCAGCTACAAAGTCCAATTACATTGTGAATTTAATTTGAAAATACATGTCTTATACTTTTTTTTTCGCGTATTACATGTAATTATAATAGTAAAAGTTTGGCAAAAATTGATAGATAATAAAATCATATTCCTAACTTAAATATAACAATGTCAGATAAAATGCGTAAAACATTTTTAACCAATTCGCAGTTTTCTTTTATTAAAGATACCAAAAACTGGTTCTCTCTCTCTCTCTCTCTCTCTCTCTCTCTTTCTCTCTCTCCCTCTCTCTACGTAGAAGAATGTAAAAAATAATCGTTGTGCTAACAAGAATGAGAAAAAAAAGAATAAAAAAAAATGAAAGAACGAGAGTCTTACTAAATGTAAGAGATACTTGAGAAAAAGTTTATAAAAATTTACACGCGAAAATGTCAAAATTAACTTTCTATTATTTATTACAACTCTCAATGGAGTGAAAGGAAAATGCAACTTCACTAGCGACGAAAAAAAATTGGAAAATAATATTTAAACATCTAATTCAGTGAAAAACGTTCTTAGAAAACATTTCATTAACTCTTTATAATTCGATGTTTTTGCAAGGTGCAAAAAAAAAAAGTTTTATGCAAAGCATTTGCATTATATGACCACTTAGCTCCCAAAGTTGCAACATCTATCACTTAGCTATAGCCTCATGACTAGTGGTAATAAATTCAAAGAACAAATCAAACATTTACATGTTCTCAATAACCTCAAAGTGAAAAAATTAAAACAGCCAACATTATAATATCCCGCTGGTGCCTTGTGCCGAGCACAAGAAAGCTCAACAAGCACAAATTGAAAAATTTCATATTTATGACAATATTGTAAGTAACCTTTTTACACAACTCCTAAATTAAACAGCAAGTAAAACAATAGCTCTTAAATACTTCTTTTTTTTTTTTTTTTTTTTTTTTTTTTAAATAGAAAGACTCGATAGAAAATTCAATTACTAAAAGTAACTATTTATCGTAAAAAGAGACATCTCGCAATCACATTCTGCCTCTGTCCGTACAATCGAAAGCATGATTTTCACTCTCGGTTTACTCTCGACAAAACCTCTCATTACGTACTTCTCACACTTATTTTACAATTTTCATGCCCCAAATATTCTTTATATTCGATATTAGAGAATTGAGAATGAAACGTTCAGTGACGAATTACAAATACCAAACTCGACCGTAAATTTTTAAAGCTTTCCAATAAGAATAACAACAATCCTCGTAACATCGATACTAACGACAACGATAATAACAATAACAATGCTAATTTATTATTTAATAAATGATGTATAACGATGGTTCAATGCGAAAGGAAAAAAAAAAGGGAAATGATGTAGATTTGAAAACAAAAAAAATTTTACTTAAAATACAACATCAATGTTGCTGACATCGACAATGGTGACTATCGCTGCTACCTGTCGACCTCCTAAATGCCTATAATTCAGAATACCGCGTTATCGGAGCCACCTAACGTCACCTACAAATACTATGTGTACTTACCGACAGTCTCTTGTTGCTTTGAGCGCCTTTACACAAGCGTATGAATATACGATATACGAACATTTGTGTGCGTGAGGTACGCGAGTTATAATTGATAAATTGTTTATCTATTTTAGCCCATTATGTTTATTTATTTAGCCCGCAGCTTCGACATCTTTTTAAAATCCGCATAATTTGGCGTTATAATCAGTCTGCTATTAAATAAACGTTTGTGAATTCTCATTTGGAAGTAGCATGAAGTGAGCTGATGTACGGAACGATAGTTTTGGATAATTTTATAAATATAGCATGCGACATGGCGATTTTCCGAGCAAGCACATTGGAATAGATGCCCGCGCGTAAACCCGATTCCATACCCACACACGTGCAAACACAAGTATATACGTATAGGCGCGTGTATGCTTTTTCTATTGCATGCAGCGATTAGCGATATGGCTTATGCGTCTTTCATGCAACTTCACAGAGTTTCCTTCCAACTACCGTGTCGACCATAGTTATATTTCTGAATATTAATAAAGCTGTACCACTATTGTAGGTTATTTAATTATTTATAAGATCGTTAAATTTGCCAGTATAAGCAAAAATATCGAAAGTTCATAAACAATGCTATAATTGGTATTATTATCTACGCTTTTCATTAAATACTTGTGTAATATTTTTTTATAAGTTGAAAATGGATAACTTAGTATTTGTCAAATGTGTATTATAAATTACAGACTGACTTTACAAAATGCCTTGCTGGTATTATGAAAAGAAGGAGCTTCGAAACACGCCTTCCATTCAGGATGGAATTGACTATGATACAGAATGTCGATACAGAAAAGAGGGGGCTCGATTCATCATCGATGTTGGCACAAAAATGGACCTGGGCTACAATACAATGGCCACTGGTGTTGTGTATTTTCATAGATTTTACATGTTTCATTCTTTTAAAACGTTTCCACGATACGTAAGGATGCTCCTTTTAACTTATGCCGATAATATTTAATAGTAAATTATAAAACAATTGGATAGAATTGCGTGTTGAACATTTACAGGTGACTGCTTGCTGTTGTTTATTTTTAGCTGGTAAAGTAGAGGAAACACCTAAGAAATGTAAAGATATTATTAAGACTGCAAAAACATTGCTTAGCGAACAGAAATTTTTAACTTTTGGAGAGGATCCAAAAGAAGAAGTAATGACATTAGAGAGGATTTTAATGCAAACTATTAAATTTGATTTGCAAGTAGAACATCCATACAGTTATTTATTAAAATATGCAAAATGTTTAAAGGGTAATGTTTTCATTTGAAATCAATAGTAATATTATCTATTTGAAACAGTATTTTGTATAATATTAACTAATTTTTAGGTGATAAAAATAAATTGCAAAAAATGGTACAAATGGCATGGACATTTGTTAATGACAGGTACTGATCGCGTTGTTTATTTTTAAAAGTGAATTTGATTTTAATATAAATCATTATAAACATTTTTTTCTTAGTTTATGTACCACTTTATCCCTACAATGGGAGCCTGAAATTATAGCGGTAGCTCTTATGTATTTAGCAGGAAAGCTAAGTAAATTTGATGTTGTTGACTGGAATGGAAGACAATCAAAACATTTGAGATGGTGGGATATGTTTGTCGAAGATGTTACCATGGATCTATTAGAAGGTTAGATCTAATTTTGTTAAAAAATCAAACGAATATGTAGTTCCGAAATCAAAAATTTTACAATCTTTTAATAGATATTTGTCATCAAGTACTGGACTTGTATTCGCAAGCAAATAGTGCAAAAACACCAGATTCCCCACCTCTGCCAACATCCAATGAGCCCATTAGAGACAGACCTTCGATACAACCGGTAGTCGAATCTGCCTCAACTACACCAAATGGTAATAGATATTCATTATAAAATTATTAGTATAGAACATTAATTTATTAAAATTTATTAAAACTTATAAAATCATATGTGACTTATGTAGCAATGAATTCTGCAAAAATTCCAAAAACTGAGGCTGTATCGGTCTCCGCAAACGGATGTCCATCTACAGACGTACCAGATAGTACAAAGCCAATGGATGTAACTAGTCACTTTACACCATATTCATCTAGTTTTCCTCAAGGAAATACATCGTTCCCTCCTGTTTTCCCAGCAAACATAGCAGTACCACCACCACCACCTGTTAACACTTTAAATCACATTGTACCTCCGATGCATATGAATGTTTCTGGTCCTATTCGACCTCTGCCATCTTCGACAGCATCTACTCAACCGTCTTTTCATCCTCCTTATTCTTATCCAGCAAATTCAAATTACTTTACAAGTGGTACATCAGCACCATCTTCGAATCCACAACGAACATATTATCCGCCTCAATCGTAACTTAGAAGTAAATGTAGAATAAATACTAATTAATTGTATATCAATACAATAAGATTTTTTAGTAACATTGGAATTAAACTCTAATTTGATAATCACATTATTCATGAATAATTTAAAGCAATAGAGTGATATTAACCGCATAAATTATATAAATAAGCATATTTAATTTTCTTAAAACTCCACTGGTGATTTCTCTTCACATGTAAGTTTATTGGTAGTATTTTAATTCGATCATACAAAGATCAAATTTTTTAATGCGAAAAGAAAATATTAAATTCATTTTTAATGTAAACTTATTTTTTATTTAAAACTAAATCGTAATTTTATAAAAATTTTTAATTATTCTACTTGTATATTTTACTATTTTATTTTATAAAATCAAAATAGAGCACCAGTTTTACTTTAAACATTTGAAAATCATTAGTAATTTTTATGAAATTACAAGTTTGTTATCGGAAGACATTTATTAAAAAAAAAAAAAATCAAAAATGCATAATAATTACATGTACAAATTTCCTTTATTGAAGAAGCTTGAATTTACAGCTGATAAATTAGGGCGTTTTCCAAATAAGTCGGAAAATAATTCTACAAGTGGTAATGCATTTTTGGAATCTAAAATAAATGTATCGGTGTAAAGTATGTACATAATACAAGGCAAATCAGTCATCTCTGCATAGGTGAACACTGAAACAAAATATGTATTTTTATTTGCAAAATATAAGCTTATAAATATAATATATTTAAAGTACTTTACCTCCAGCACAAGCACCAGTAACAAAATTTGGCTGGTTTAAAGTAGAAATTTCACTATTTTCATTACTTTGTGATCTAGATGAACATAATTTTTTTAAGAAAGATATTGAATTCGTTTCTTCATCACTTTTAAAATGAAGCATGTGATCGCTTGTTAATGTGTACAAATTAACTGAATTAGATAATATGGGTGCAATCTAGAAAAGCCAATTTAATCGTAATATATATTATTTTAAATATTAATAAAGAGTTAAATTAAACGATTTACAAATAATAATATTTACAGCTTCTGTTAACTGTCCGGTATGTATCAAATCAAGCTTCGTACTAACAATGCAAACATAGATACTATTATCGATTAAATAAATTCTTGTACTATTCTTATCGCAATCATATTCTATAATACAAACGAGTTTTGAATTTTCAAGTATAGTTTTTGTAACAAAATCTGAAAAATTGGTAAATAAATTTTTAAAATAAGTTTTATAAAAATTTATTCAAAAGAATCGTTTACCTATCATCATTTCTCCTTCCACAATTATGAATTTGTCTAATTTCGATGGTTCAGACTCGATCCAGTTAATTACAAACTCTCTATACAAAATAATTATTATATAAATTTGTTCAAATTGCATTGCAAGGAATGATATACTCTAGGCATATACATATAAAAGCACTTAAATATAATTAACACATGCATAACATTAATAAATATAACAAAATTAATAAAGAACAATGAAAATAGCAACAAAATCGGTGCAATTTGAAATATTATAACAGTTTATTCTGGAGTTTGACAAACATATAATACTTTATATGTATAATATAATTCTTATGATATAAACAACCAAGAAATTTGAGGTTAGAATCAAGAATGATAGTATTCATTGCTTACCTAGTGTCTTCGGTATTTTCTAGGACTTCGTGATCATCTTCGTCATTCCAAAATGCTCTTGAAACAGGATATACGACCTCTCCAAAGAAACTGGCCATACTTTAAACTAATGAAATTATAAAATTGTTCTCAATCAGTGTTACGGTATTTTAAAATTACTACACGCAGAAAATATAATCTGACTGTCTTAAAAATTGCATCGCACCAGCGCCACTCGCGCTACATAATGACACCAATTTACATTCACACAAATCTGTGAATTATCAAAAAAATTAAAATTAAATAAAACAAATAAGTCTTACTGTAGTCATTTTATTTTATTCTTCTTAATTTTGGTATTGCAACTTTATTTAATTACCAAATTTATTTATGATGCCGCCAGTTTTACATCAATACTCATATATATATATTTGTATAAAAAAAGTATAAAACCTCTTATCGCTTATTTATAATTAAATGTCATGCACAAATACTTTTCTGAAAAATCTACCGATTTTTTAAAACATCCTTAACTTTTAGCTCAGGTATTTATAAACATTTTATGACGAGATCCGATATGCAAACGAGTTTGCTTTTTGATTATCTTAATTAAAAAGCTTCGTTTAACTTAGCACAGTCGATGCGACCCGTCTAAAGTTCATTCACTAAGGCCGCTAAAGGTGTCACTTCCGTCTAGACGCATTGAATCGCATTTATTTGTAATACTTCGAATAAAACGATAACTCCTAATGAGTTTCCGCTCATTTTGATGCAATAATTTAAGGAGCATCATGTCAATTAAATTTAAAAAATATTTATAATTCATAAATGCTTCTCAAAGTGTACATCGACGTACATGGTTGGTAATTTCTTCCTTTTTTTTTTCATTTCTCTTAACGCATTATTAAAATACCCGATTAAGAATCATGTACTTGACACGCGAACAATATTGTTTCCACGCATATCCGTATCGAAGTCCACATCGAGCGTTGTCTCTTACTGCTCGGTGGATCAATAGCAGTGTAAGTTGAATGGCAAAAATATACGGCAAAAAGTCAGTGGCAAAACTTAGACAAGAAATCGACCAATGCATTATAATATCACCAAGGTAATTCGGATGCCTCACGTGACCCCACAATCTGGAAACAATTAAACGCTTGCCACGCTTGGTCGGTATAGTTTCCAAATCTAATAGAGAAAGAATGTTAGTTATCCCTTCTACTCTAAACCTAGGATTAATGAAAGCATTAAACTGAAACTTACGGGATAAAGATGGTTCGAAAGGATTTTTTCTGAATTTATCCTTCATGGAATTGCTTACTCTATAGATTGCATATCCAACACAAAAGAAAACTGTAAATAAACCTATTAGATATATAGATTTGTTGATTCTGTAAAACAAATTAATTAGCAATTTCCTTCTTATAATAGATGACAATAATGATAAGAAATAAATTTGTTGACTTGCTTGTTGGTCAGTAAATATCTCGTTGTTAAAGTGGCTAAAAATGGATATGTTAGATATCTGGTTATCAACATAAAGCCCGTACCCTCGTATGTTATTTCAAAGGATGTAACTGCCGATGATTCAAATACCAGATTATCTGCTGCATGAACTATTTGTAATAGTGCTACCTCAATAGCGATGTAATTCAAATTATTTAATTCTGGAGCTATAGATTGATTAATCTTTACTATGGCGGCCAAATTAATTAAAATCTAGGGGGGGGAAACATTATCGTTAGAAAATTGGTGAGTTTCATAGAAATTATTTATATTTAACAGTATTATACCGTTCCTATTAAAGCACAGCGAAGAAGTATCAACTTAAAGTCCAAGGGTCCAAGTCGTGGATTTATTTCTCTACCTTGCCAAAAATCGTATATTATGTTATTTGTGGAACCATATATGTTAAGATTAGAAACTGGCATTCTGCCGCCTTTGACGTATAAAGCCACAGCAAGAAGTATTCCATAAGTCAATCCAGCTACTGATAATGATAGTGAATTTTTTATTAAAAAGTCACTGATGTTATAGCCTTTGTATACAAATCCTCCAAAAATTATTAATGACAAGATTAAAATCCATATCCCTGAAAGGTTAATAAAAAATATCAGACAATATTGATCTTCGCAATATACTCTGTTATATATGTAAATAATACAAAAATTACAAAGAAATAATGTACGAAAAATCTAATCTTGATGATATTACCATTGATTCGATATTGCAGTCTACCAATTATACTCTGTTGCCCATCGATTAGCCTACCAATTGGTAGAACTGATATTATAGCCACAAAACATAGAAATCCCGCGTATGATAAAAATGCTTCAAGATTTAAAAATAATTTCCACTCTTTATAAAGTGAAACATGAAATTTCTTGGAACTGCAATGGTTGTTTGAACAAGCAATTTGTAATAGAATAGTGCAAACTGGTATTGCAATTATAAGCAATAGGGCGCCAATCCATCCACCCCATTCTTGGGGTTTACTCAGAAAGTCTATTTCTTTAGTTTTTCCTTCAGAAAATGTTTCTAAATCAAAATCTTCATAATGAATAGATTTCATAATATCCTGGAAAATCAAGTCATTCTAGATAAAAATTTATGCAACGACATAATGATTGGAATTATAAACAGACTGGATTAATAGTAAAAAAAAATAAAAATTTACTTCTTCTGGTTGTACGGACAGTCCTCTTTCTTTACCATCCGATAATGCATTGTACTGAGCTTTTCTTTCTACTGGAAGAGATGCGGCTCTGTCAATGTTTCTCGTTAGCATCATTAACTTGTGATCGTGTTCTGCCTTGGCCACACCAGACATAATGCGAATAGAACGTCGGGTAATTGGTCCAAGTTCTCTTAATCGCGACTGAATGGGTGGCTCCACAAATTCATCCTTTAAGCTTTCAGATCCTTCCGTCCTATCAGTATCGCTCGAATTATCTAGGGACGAATAAAGAATTGTGCAGCAGTTTATATACAGGGACAGGAATTACATTTAGAATACGAATGAAATAGAAAAAGATAAATGAAAGCCATGATTAACAACGATGCTAGGTTAGCAACGACTCTTAAGAACCAACAAAGCTTTACAATTAATTTAATTCAATTATTTGAAGTACCCATATACCTTTTGGTATCTCTAATCTGGCAATAGAGATTTTAGCTTGTCTGGCATTACGTACAGGTAATTTTCTAGACTGAGAATTGGGTGATCTAGCTGGAGACTTACGAGCTGGGGATCTCCGACTGGGACTACTTCTGGAAGGGCTTTTTCCACTAGGTCTACCTCTACTTCTAGTTTGGCTCCTGGAAGTTCTTTGAGCCTGTGGCACAATATCCATAAATAACCAAAAATACACCACAATTTGTCGATTTCAACTCCCAATCATTCCGATACATTACCTTGAGATCTGTCTCGTTGACCGTATACTCCTCTCCTCCCCTAAAGAGTACTTTATATTTGTTGCCCTTAACATTTACAATTCTCGCTTTTTGATAATCGTCGCTACTCGGCATTTTCGCGAGGACTTGCTCGCCCTCTGAGAACTTCATCCTTTCTAAAAATACACAAGACACAACGGTAATATTATATGCTTAAGGCCACCAGTTCTTTTTATCATTTATTTTAGACAATATGGTTGAGTTCGCATTAGTTGAAGGAGAAAAAAAAATTGCAAATTCCTACGTGGCTGAAATTCCGAGGGAAACTATTTATAGACAGATTCGGAATAGTTTATATAACCCATATTAGCGCACATCCAACAGTCGTGCACTATTCAATAAAATAACACGTATTGCTCATAATTAACGTCGGCCCGAACAATAACGCAAGGTCTCCACGCGTTTGTTTACAGCACGTCCCGCGTATACATAGCCGAGAGCCGCGGGGGTTAATAGGCACTGCTAACCGACTTTCGGGCGGGAGAATGATCCGAGAAAGTACCGCGACTCCGGACAAATATATCGCCCACAGCGGTGTCAGTAGAAAGGGCCGAACTGCGCGACCCCACGACTTACCCTGATATGTGCACTAATAACGGATTCCTCTTTTTATTCGTAGCACTAGCTCCGAGGCGGGAATATATAAAGCGCGCACGACATACGCGAGGTTATAGTTGACGCTGTTTTTTTCTTGGCATAACCGTAAAGGACGCCAACTATTCGGCTCGCTTTCCTAAAGCCTCTACAAATAGACCACGCGAATCGTGTGCGACCGACTGCGGCTGCGGGGCGGGCGAGTCGACGCTACGCCGCCACAGCGGTTGCGCGTTCGCAAAACGATGCTTTCGGTGCCGATGCGCCTGCCTTACCTAGCCTTAACTCTGTCGGAGCCCGTGCGCCTCCGATCGTCTATGAGAATATAGCGGCACACGCATCGCCCTCCCCCACGACCCTCCGCATAACGGACACGAAATTTTCCGGCTTTTGTCCATCTCGACGAAGCAGCCGCCCGGCCGTTCGCCAATTTTTATTGGGTCCCGTAGAAGGCTGAAGGTGCGCATCGAGACCCGTTCGATCGCCGTGAGCAATATTTAATTGGTGTAAGAACGCTTTCGCCTAGTGCGCCATTTTCAATGTGTTTGGTCTTTTCGATGTTTTCTATGACGTCACGTCCTTTGCCCCTTTATCAGATCAATTGTAAAAATATTGTTTTTCATCGACGAGAGGACGGCCGAATAAATAATACGTTTACTTTTTCTCCTCTTGCACTCAGTACTACTGTCAAGTCATTGCTAATACTTTAAGTATTCTTGCCCAACAAGCTTTTCAATTCGATTTATCTTGTTTGCTTCTTCCTCTCTCTCCTCCCCTAACCCCCTTAAAGGCTATTATTTAACCAATCGCTTAAATTGTAAAAATCCATGATTGACGGCATTCCCAGGTAAATTTATACTTACACATACATCTTCCTTTTAAACTTCTTTTCGAACTAGATATACTCTAATGTGTATATATGCAAATATATATATATATGTGCGCGCGTGTGCGTGTGCGTGCGTGCGTGCGTGCGTGCGTGCGTGCGTGCGTGCGTGCGTTCGTGTGTGCAGGCGTGCGTGTTTATATTCAAGTATATATGTATATATGATTTTTTTGTGCAGAACTGCAGCCTCATATCGTATGACATTTCATAAATGCGCGTTTTTCCTATTGTGAGTGTGCACGTATGAGCATCATAACGGTAATCAATTTCCACTATTATAAATATAACACCATATGCGTATTCGTTACAATAAAAAACAATCAATGTTCGATATAATTTTGGCAATTGTACTACACAGATTCGTAAGGTAATTGAATATATTGTCTTGTGCATATTGATTAAAAATATCAATCGTATACGTAATAATGTGATATACCGTGCTGTATTTTAGATTGATTTATAATGTGTTAAAATACAAATGTGAATTTAAATATTTTCAATCTTTCGAAATTCTCAAACAAAAACATAAATGAGAGACACTACGAATAGTTTTAATTATATACAGGAATATTTGTATGTAAAATTTTGTAATATATTCCTGTAATTGGTGTTGATTGAAATTGTAAAATTTTCATCGCTAATTCAATGATTAAAATATTGATATACGTAAACTCCTGTATCTAAGATAACGATTTTATTTAAAAGTTTTAAATACTTAAGATTTGGGGTTTAGTGCGCTACGATATTTTCAATTTATGAAACTGTTGACGAACGAAAAATGAAAGCCAATACATATTTTATCGACACTCTTAAATAAATATGTACAAAATTTATACTCAAACAACATCTTTTCCGCCATTTTCACACTGCGTTACAATCGCAATATATTAAAAAAAATTGCCTTTTATTTATACAAAATGAATTCATATCAAGAAAATAAATTAATGGAATTTCTTACTACAACAAATGGAAATTTATTTCATTTATAAATACTTATAACTCAGCACTTCCTCAAACTGATAATGCAGAAAGTCAATTAGTAATGAGTTTACTAGGTATCGTATCTAACATAATTGTCAGCTTCGTTAGATATCATTTTCTAACTTTATTCACGTCTAGTATAGATTTTATACGTTTACTTATTATATCCTTTAATATCATGATTTGTAAATATTATTTAATATATATTATTATAGATTAATAATGTTATATCAATTAGTTCTTTCGATTTAGTTCCGATTGCACGTTTAATATTGGAAATATTATTTAATAGATTCGTTTTATTTTACTTAATACCATTTTAAATTGCCACTTACATAAACTGTTATATATGCGCAATGATAATAAATACGTAAACAACGCATGGTTTTATAATAGAAACGTGAAAAAGACATTCAATTAGTTAAACATTATCATAACCAATATTATAATTTTAAGATTATTTTTCATAATTATCTATATTGTCGTTAAAAGCAACATCGTGATGAATTTATTTTTTATCTCCCTCCTTTTTTTATTTGAGGTCGAAATTAGTAATACGAGTCCCTCTATTAAGCAGATATTTTCCCACTAGATTAAAAATTATTTTGTTTACCACTGTTGCATTCTCATTCATCAAAAAATTCGATCATGAAATATTTTGAACGGATGACAGCCCATAATTCACTATTGAGTTGGAAAACTATTGAATTACAATCACAAAACGCCATCGGCAATAGCTGAAGAAATAAGAAATAATGTAATGTCTGTAGTGCCACAAACCTACTCGATTAGTTAAAAAGTAAAAACAAAGCAGCAATAGCTCAAAATACATTAAAATTAACTTCTAATTAATAGATTTACCTATTATCATTGACTTGAACAAAAGGCTTCTTCGTATAAGCGTGTTTTATTTCATTGTTGTTGGCGAAGGAATGGGCGAGCTTCGTTATTTTATTAGATTGCGTCTAAAATTCAAGAACTTATAGTAAATGAATATATATATATATATATATATATATATATATATAATATAATATAAGACGACATAACGATATATCTCCTTACCTCTCCCAGGCAACTTCTGTCCTTCATTATTTGTAGTGTATGCGTGCGTGCACATGCGTACGTATGTATGTATAAATGCGGCAAGAATTTTTATGAGCTCGTCTTAGATGCTGGATGAAGTGCAGTTAATTGATCAATCTTGTGATTCATCGTGGGTACGTAAACATATTGAGGGGCCGTTAATGCCGAGAACAAACTGTATTGTCCAAGGTATAATAGCATGTGGTATTATTTTATTTGTAGCAATTGTATTGCCCGTACTCATTCTGGATTTTTCATTAAAGAAGCTTGCAAAAGATACCGTTACATTGTTGTGAATAATAGGAGAGTATTTCTGAATGTAAAATGATCCAGAGGAGAGGAAAAGAGAGAAAAGGAAGAAAGAAGCGCGAGCAAAAACAGTAACCCAATTCTCGCCTGACTCGTCAGGTTTATCGCTGCACTATGGTCTTCTTTGTCATTACACGAGATGCTGAACGTTTATGTACTGGCAACCAGAAGTGCGTGGAAGGCTAACAATTTACTTCTTTGTCGATTTGATACTGCGTCGATCATTAGCATTAGTATTTTTCTATTTGACTGCGAAATGATTCACACGAAGCCTTTATATATTACGTTCAGCTCGAGCGCAATGTGTGTGTGCGTGTGTGCGTGTGTGTGCGTGTGTGTCTATATATATATATATATATATATACATATATCGTGATAAATGTCGGAGACGCCTATGGACAACGGAAATCTCGATTTATTCATGTAAATTTATAATATGAATTTATGCGCTTGCAAAATAGTTTTGACCGCGGATGAGAACAATTCCTTTTCGATGCACTTACGCATACGCGGCTATGGCAACCGAAATAAATTATAATATTATAAATTTAATATATCGCGTACGTGTGTGCGATTGTAATTAGAAGCGGGCAACGCGGTTTTCTGATAATAAAATGGCGCAAAAATTAGAAGTCGGAGTAATTTTTTTCTTCTTTTTTTTTTCCTTTTAATCCCCCTGTTGAGAAGAATAATTTGATCATTCGTAGTACATTGTAACGACGCTCATCTCGCATATATTTTTAAGTTTTCATTAGAGTAGTTCGACATTTTCAATGCGTTTTTTAATGCAGTCAGACATATAATAGTTGGAAAATAAGTCCGTTGTACATGGAAGAGCTGATGTTCACATTGTAGGTGAATCCGATTTAAAGTATGTCAATTTTTCCCAGCATTAGAGCAGTGCGATATAGACGGAGGAGAGACGGCGGCATCTAGCGAAAATCCCGTGATTCACGAAGCGTATAATTAAATTCAAATAAAGACATTTTTCAACGTGAAAATATTTCAGCGCCTCATTGGAATGAGTGTAAAAGGCAGATGAAACGCCCGAGCATTCGAATGCGGACAGACCCGCCGAGTAATTGAATGATTTAAGGCACGTCTGTCCCGCATCTGTGCATCTCCTACGTATCAGCGTTCTCACATTAAACGTGTTTTCCATTGCTCGTGCATGGCAATAACCAAAATCTCCAACGAACTTTAATTATGCGTGCATTAATATATGAATTTTGACGTTTGTTAATAAACTATAACGATTGAGATAGGAGGATGAGAGCCTCGTTTGGTTTCGTTCCGTTCCTATGTCGATTCGTCCATTCCTACGATATGCCTCGGCAATACATAAAGTGTATCGAAGAGTCGATTAAGAGTCGCGCATAAGAGATTATATGATAATATAAGAAATGAGTAAAATTTATTCATTCTCGTTCTCTGCGAGTGGAAGGAAATTTTTTAATTAATCCATTAGTCAACCCATGAAACTCTTCTTGGTTTAAAAGCGTACGTTTGTTTGTAGACATCAAGAGTCTCTGGCTTCAGTATAGAAGGTTGAGTTGACGACTAACGAAAGCCGATTATCGCGACGTTTTTCTGGTATCTAGATTCGTACATAATGAATTACGAAATGTTGTATTCAATAAATGAACATTGACATATCAGTGAAAATGTTATTATATTTATTAGCGTTATTATAAA